TGTTTGGGCTTTGCTGATTCACTGAATGGGGTGGGGCCAGCTAATTGGATTTGGAGCCAGGATGTAGCTGGTTCTGCAAGCCATTGCAGTGGGAATGCTCCCTGTGTTACCACAGCTGGCTGAAAGCCCTCATGTTAGCTATCGGATGGCAGTGGGCCAGCAAATGCAGAATTAGCCAGTCTGCTCCTGCACATCCTTCTGTCTTAAGCAAGTGGTACAGACTGATGCTGAGCACTGGAATTTCTCTATTTACTCTGTTGCTTGCAGGGGGTATGATGAGGGCTCCATGTAGGTTGCTTCACAGCCCATTGAATTCTGTGGCACATGGAAACTAAAATTTGTCACAAGGCCCCCTCAGGCCTTTAGCAAACTGGAAATTCTGTGGTGGTGGGACGTTCGTAGAAAAATATCCAGAAAATTAATGTTCATTGCATGATCTACTGTATAACAGCATTCATTGTCTTATGAAATGCTTCTTTGTGGAAGTTTTCCCACATATTTTAGACTTCTGATGCATTTCCATTTTGCTGCAAAAATCAGGATGCCTTCCTGCAGAACTTAGGGTGGTATGCCATAGCCTCGCCTTCTGGCTGCTGGAAGGAGGAAAGGGGGCAACCAGATCTGGAGTGCATGGATGGTAGGGAGCAGGTGGACTACAGAACATTCAAGGAAGATTCCAAAAGTCTGGGAGAAGCAGGGGAATATGGACTTAGAATATTTAGCTTCCCGGCTGTCCACAGTGATCAAACAAGGAGGTAGTGGTGACTGCTTGAAAAGCTGGGGTGGGGGGAAAGATTGGCAACTCTGGTTTAGCCAAGTTGAGCTTGAGATGATGGCTAGACATCCGCAAGGAGCAGTCAGCGAGACAGGCAGAGATTTTAGTTTAAACAGAAGGAGACAGCTTGGGAGTAGAGAGGTAGCTGTCAGCATAGATGTGGTAGTTGAATCTGTGTATGCAGATGGGCTTAAGGTGTAGAGGGAGATAAAGTAGAGAAGGGGTCCAAGGATGCAACCTTGTGAAGGTCCCACAGAAAGTCAGCGGGTAGATGAGGAGGATCCTCTGAAGGACGCACTGAAAGAGTGACCAAGAGAGGGCAGAGTCAGGGAAGCCAAAGGAGGACAAGGTTTCAAGAAGAGCTGACTGTGGCAGAGGTAGCTGGTAGGTGAAGGAGGATGAAGATGAAGTACTGGTTCTGAGTTTTGGCTTGGAAGAGGACATTAGACTTGCCCACCTCCTTCATAAACGAGATAGAATTCTATCTGTGACTGTGGAGGAGAGGAAGCAGGGAGCACAATAGGGCAGGTGATTACAGCACAATCACCACAACACCAAGATTGCTGCAGTAGTTGGTCTAAATGGAAGTGTCGCACCTGTGACACATATTAGTTGTTTAGTGCAAACAGTGACCTTGGCTGTGCACAATATAACCAAACAGGGCTTATAGCCTGAAAGGCACCTAGGAGTAGAGCTGGGAGAATAACTGATTTTTCAGTTTTGTAGCTGACCTGAAACATCGATACGAAATGACATTTGGGTTGGTCCAAAACAAGTATTTGTCATTGAAACAAAAAAAGTTGAAAATTTAATTCTGGTTCGACGATTCATTTTGTTTAGTTTCATATTTATTTTGTTTTACTTTTTGGAATACAATTGAAGCAAAATTCAAAACAAAAAGTTATCTTGAATAGAAAAAAAAAGTTTCATTCTGAAAATGTAGAATCAAGATGTTTGGACTTTTTGGGTGCCAAAACAATTTGGCACAACTTACAGAAAATTGTAAAATGTTTCAGTCAACCCAAATATGCATTTTTCAGTTAAAAAAAAGTTTTGGTCCAATTTTTTTGCCCAGCAGTACTTAGGAGCCTTGGCGGTTTAGTTTTGCTGCTGTCTTGGTAATCAGTAAGCTAGAGACAGAGCAGATAGCAGAGGCCTGTGGGATTAAATCAATTTTTTCCCTCCGGGGAGTAGTCCCTGGAGGAGGCAGCGAAGCTGCTTCGAAGTGAGGTCTGTGGTTGGTGCATCAAGGGAGATGAAACATAAACAGAAGCAGATTGATTCACTGCAGAAAGAGGTGCAACTAACTCTTACAGGAACAACAATTTAACTCCTGCGACAGCTACCTCAAAAACCTGGCAATGGAACACCCACCCAACACAGATGTCATTATCATTTCCATTTACCTACAGAAAGGCATTATAAATACTCACATGAGCCCAGAAGTGTTTTTTCTCACCAGAACCGAGAAATTGCAGCCTCCTGTATTGCACCTGATGTGTGGAACTGAGGCATTCACTTCTCAAGAGAGACAAGTCTGACCCTATCTCCTGCAGCCAACGCACATCTGGGTTGTGGCTCTCAACAAGTTACACAATATCCCTGTCAGTCACAAGTCACAGGAGGTCTGTATCCTGGCAACCAGGCATTATGCTCCTCCCCCTTTGAGAAGGCTGGAGTGTGTCATTGCTTTCATAGGTAATGAGGGGGAAGGTTGTGGGGAATGGCTGAGCCAGAGTTCAAATCCAATTTCTATCATTATTCTGCTGCTGTGGCTAATTAAATTAATTGACTTGAGCTGAAAAGTGCTAACTGAAGTACAAAGGCTTATCAGCTAGCTGGGGAGGGGGATGGTATAAAATCTTGATATTTCATCATATGCAAAATAGTTCCAAAAACAAGACTATACAAATGCAATTTCTCTCCATCTCTTGGGGTCACGTTAGCCTCTTTCTGAGCCTTTGCAAAGGCCCAGCACAGTATATTGTATTACTCAGGACTTTGCTTGGCAAGCTGTTGGTATCTGAGGTATCTGTACGGCACCTGTAACCATGCAGTCTGATTTTCCAGACGTGCTGAGCCTCTGCGAGCTCCCCTTGAATGTAGTGAGAGTCTCAGGTGTTCAGCACCTCTGACAATCTGACAAGCAAGCACTAGCTACAAAGTGCTGCCTCTGACTGGATGAGACCCCTGGCTCCGGGTGATTGGTGTTCAATGAAGAGCTGAGGGAGAGTTTGGCCACCAACATGCCACATACCCCACCCACCATGCCAGCTGCAGGCCAGGCTGTGCACTACTTTGACTTTGGTGTAGCAGTTACCCGCTGGGGAGGGGGAATAGAAAACTGTTTGCCTCTCTTTCTGAGCCAACGTGTCCCCAAGCCTTTAACTTTCAAAAGCCAAAGTTTCCAGGAGAATGTTTCTGATAACCACAACCCAGATACCGGGCCCTACAGGGACTACTTTCCACCTACGCCCCATCACATCCCCCACTCACCAGTGTAGGGGCATGAGCAGGAAAAGGGGAGGTATGTCTGCTACACTGCGGACTCCATCTGATCCTCTGCTGGCATCTGGAGGCTCTGGGCAGCTGAGCATAGAATCATAGAACTGGAAGGGACCTCGAGAGGTCGTCTAGTCCAGTCCCCTGCACTCATGGCAGGACTAAGTATTATCTAGACCATCCCTGACAGGTGATTGTCCAACCTGCTCTTAAAAATTCCCAATGATGGAGATTCCACCACCTCCCTAGGCAATTTATTCCAGTGCTTAACTACTCTGATAGTTAGGAAATATTTCCTAATGTCCAACCTGGACCTCCCTTGCTGAAATTGAAGCCCATTGCTTCTTGTCCTATCCTCAGAGGTTAAAAACAATTTTTCTCCCTCCTCCTTGTAACAACCTTTTATGTACTTGAAAACTGTTATCATGTCCCCTCTCAGTCGTCTCTTCTCCAGATTAAACAAACCCCATTTTTTCAATCTTCCCTCATAGGTCATGTTTTCTAGACCTTTCATCATTTTTGTTGCTCTTCTGTGGATGATCTCCAATTTGTCCACATCTTTCCTGAAATGTGGTGCCCAGAACAGGACACAATACTACAATTGAGGCCTAATCACAGCGTAGTAGAGCGGAAGAATTGCTTCTCATGTCTTGCTTACAATACTCCTGCTAATACATCCCAGAATTATGTTTGCTTTTTTTGCAACAGCGTTACACTGTTGACTCATATTTAGCTTGTGATCCACTAGGACCCCCAGATCCCTTTCCTCAGTACTCCTTCCTAGGCAGTCATTTCCCATTTTGTATGTGTGCAACTGATTATTCCTTCCTAAGTGGAGTACTTTGCATTTGTCCTTATTGAATTTCACCCTATTTACTTCAGACCATTTCTCCAGTTTGTCCAGATCATTTTGAATTTGAATCCTATCTTCCAAAGCACTTGCAACCCCTCCCAGCTTGGTATCGTCCACAAACTTTATAAGTGTATCTCTAGGCCATTATCTAAATCACTGATGAAGATATTGAACAGAACCGGACCCAGAACCGATCCCTGCGGGACCCCACTTGATATGCTCTTCCAGCAGACCTTCAGTCTGCTCTACTTTACACCAGGGACCAAACTAGCACCCACTTTAAAGTCATCTTTGGGTCTTCCCTATTTCTGTCCTAAACTTAGCTCAGCTTGGCTGGACCAGAGGATCTGGACCCATATTTTCTATTTGTGAACAATCACTAATTTTACCATGGAGAGAGCAAGTGCACTGTCATGTGCAAAACTGTAAGTACACATTTCTTTTGGTCACAAGAGTTCCAAGACCAATTCCACATCTGCTCTAACTAATGATCCTGGTCCACAGACTATATAAGCCCAGGAGATGGATATAGGTGCTAGGTTATTTCTCACAGTGCCAACAAAAACAGTTTTGGGGCTCTTCCCTTTGGCTATGATCCCAGGTGTGAAGCAATTTTACTGCAGGATGTGTCCGTTTAAGTATCAGTGATTATTCTGCAGCAGTGACTTCCCACAAGGAAAAAGGCATGGGCCTTCCAGACCCAAAGCTATTATCAACTTCAGTAACATTAGTTCCTCGATACAGTTTGCGTGTAGATAGACACTGTGGCATTCCAGTGAGGAAGACATGTCAGATCTGCTTGCTACCTCTCTTGGATACTGGAGATGGAAGAGGAGTACTGGTTATGGTTAGGAAAGAAAAAGGGTGCTTAACTAGGACAAGGAAGGATGGGAATTCTCCATATGGAAGCAACTTACTATTATTCCAACTCTAAGCACATGGCTAGGGCATGCATAAATCAGGAGGTGTGGGGGAAAGTGCAGCCAGAACCAGAGGAGATGGTTCTGAAGGAGACGGAAAAGGGGCTGCAACCTGGCGCACTCCAGGCAGACGTGCGCCAGGGTCTTCAGTCCATAGCTGGAATACCACAAAGTTTCCCTGTCTAGTCACATCTTCCCAGATGTCTCTTTCTGGAAAAGGTGACTTACCCCCAATTCTCACTTCAGCATGTAACAGAGTTTAGCCAAACCTGGACGAATGCTCCAAGTGCCTTGTATTTCTATTAATATACTAAAAGAAGGCAGTAATATATGGAGGAAGCTGCCAGCCATGGAATGTTTCCCCTGTTCACAAGCACGAGTACAGAGCTGTGGTAAGGGCCAATGGAGCAGGCTGACAGATGAAATGAAAATACTTAATTGTAACCGTACATAGCTAAAGAATCCTTCAACATCAGATAGTATCGCTAGTTTCTCTTTCTTCCTAGCTGATAAAGTTCTTTAGGAATCGTGTCTAGGCGTTTGTAGACCACCTGCTACAATGGAGTCCTGACCCTGACTGTGCCCCTGGCTGGTCCTCCCAATCCCTATGGTATTGCCAACCCTCAATGTGAGGGGGGAAATTAGCCAGGCCCCCAAACATCATAAGCTTGTCTTAAAACTTGTGAGGTTTTCTAAAATAAGAAATGTTGGTTTTGTAGGTCATGTTTTCAATTTATTTCCCCATGACCATGAGGGCTAGAAACACACTGTATGTATGGGAAAGTTTAAGTTCTCATTGACTCATTTGGCTGCAGGCACTGGAGCTATAAGAAAAAGACCAAAGATTAGGAAGCTCATAATAAAGCGCTGAGTTGGCAACACTGCAAATGTGAATAGAATGTGCATGTGTAGGTGTTAAGAGCCCTTTCCCCACACCTGTGTCTATGATGGGAGACTCTCAATCTCCCTGGGCCAAGCGCCTCACCAAAGGGGCTCAGTGTCTGGGCACGGACTGGCGCCTAGCACCACAGGCCCCATTTTTGGTCGGTCCTTGGGCACTGCCCGAAGAGACACGAGTAATAATTCCAGCGTGGGCTCTGGCCCGGCTCCCAGGGAATCGCGGAGATGCCATGTAGCTTCCCTAGTTGCCACCTGCACATAGCAACCAGCCCCAGCGCCGGGATCCCCTCCGCTGCCGGACAGTGGAAGGGGACGCGCCAGCCGGGCGGTTTCAGGGCGGGCGTGAGAGCCCCTCGCGTGCCCCGCGGCGCCCAGAGCCGGCGGTGCCCAAGCGGAGATCCCCGGCCCGGCCCGGGCACACCCTAGGGCGGGGCCTGCGTGTCGCGTGGAGGGGCGGAGCCGCTCCGGGCCAATGGGAGGCCGCGGCAGCGGGAGTTTGTTGGGTGGTTACAAGAAAGTTACACAAGGCTCGAAGCTGCCGCTGCCCGCGGCCAGGCGCGTCCCAGCGCGGGGAAGGAGACGTCGCCCCGGCGGGGACCCCGGTCTAGGGCCCGCACTAGCCTCCCGCCGCGGACCGAGCCCGGCGGCTGCCCCCATGGGGCTGAGCCCGGGGCTCCTGCTCGTCGGCGGCTCCTTCGCGGCGTTCCGGCTGCTGAACCGCGGGCTGGAGCGGCTGGTGCCTCCGCCGCGCCCCGCGCTCCGCAACCGCTGGAAGTGGCGAAACATCTGGACCTCGTTCGCGCACAGCCTGCTGAGCGGCGCCGGGGCGCTGCTGGGGTGAGGGGCCGCGGGGCGCTGCTGGGGTGAGG